TGTTTTTAAATCATACCTACACAGGCATTCACCTTATGAAGGCCCATCCTTGTACATTTCAAACATTTCCTAACGTTCTGTTCCCCACAACTGGTAATCAAGTGAGTAGCACAGGGGAGGTGTTGACTCTTTTGCTCAGGGTGATTTCCACAGGCCTTTTCCCTCAAGGTTCAAGCTCATGATCCCTATCCAATCCTGTGAGTGTCTACATGATCCAGTGAAGTAAACTTTAGATGAATACTGGAATCCCCTGAGAATCCTGTCACAATGCAGATCCCCCCCACCCCCGCAGGTCTGCAACATGGACTGACTTTCCAAGGGTTTTCCTATGATGTCTATGCTACTGGTCTGTAGATCATATTCTGAATAGCAAGGATTTAGATCCTTGTTGGTGAATGACAGCCCAGGCTGGCAGCCTGTTTTTATAAATAAAGTTTTATTGGAATATAGCCATGCCATTCACTCATGTATTGTCTACGGCTGCTTTCACGCTATAATGGCAGACTTGGGTAGTTGTGACAGAGATCTTTTGGACTGCAGAGCCTAAAATATTTGCTCTCCAGCATTTTAAGAAAACAATTGGTGCCCGGCCGGTGTGGCTCAGTGGTTGAGTGTCAACCCATGCACCAAGAGGTCACTGGTTCAATTCCCGGTCAGGACACATGCCCAGGTTGTGGGCCTGATCCCCACAATCTGGTGGCCAATCGATGTTCTCTTCATCGATGTTTCTATCTCTCTCTTCCTCTCTCAAATTAATTTTAAAAAAAAGAAAACAATTGGTGACAAGTAATTTAACCTACTTCTTGAATTTCCTTATGGCCTCTCCCTGTTGGCAAGTATTTTATAGGTAGCAACAGCAATAGATTACTTTTAGTCAATAGGAGAACTATGCATATTAAATAGCATGGGTTTAGGAAAAATGATAAGGTAACAGATATGCCTTTCTGCTTGCTTGATATTAACAGATATTAACATCACAAACATAACTAAGTTCCATTTCAGAATATTTACCGATGGTGCCCTATGGCTTAACCTGCCAATGAGAAACGGCAAAGACAAACTTGCTGAGGGTGAAGGCCCAAGAGAGGTGTCTGAAACAAATTACAGAACCCATAGAGCTCCAGACTCGAATACCTGCCATTTTTACACTTTATCCAATTCACCTTCTCAGTATCCCTTTCAAATAAATGACATAGAAATGTCATTTCTTATTTTCCCAAGGAAAGGGGAGTGGGAACAAAGAGCTGAACAGACATCCCACACTCTCAATGAGCAACATAGGTTGGGAAACACAGGTTGTGTAAACAGAGGCTGGGAAAATGCATTTGTCACAATTGCTAATATAAACCAAGAGGGTAAATTGTCCAAATCCAGGGTTGTATGAATTAGGCAATTCTGATTAAGCTTTAAATGGCAATAAAGGGACTAGTCTATGTTAATATTATGGGACTAATTCACTAAAGTGTGTGACTATTATTTCTTCTCCCAGTAAGTAAGTAGAGAGAAGCATAGCTATTAAGTATCATATAGAAACTGTGGCGTGCATAGTTTTTACTCCTCAGATCTGAGTTGTTCTCTACCATCTCTCTGATTATTTCCTAGAAATGTGACACAGAGAACAACAGTCTGGGAAAAATAAAATGTCCAAGTCTGACTGTGGATCAAATGCAACTATGAAAATTCTCTCCAGCTCTTCACTTTCATTGATTCTATACATATTTATTGAGCACCTACTGTTCCAGGTGTTTGGGCTACATGAGTGAAGTAAACAGTCCAGGATAGCCTCATCAATTTATGTTCATGTACAGGAAATAAACATAAATAAGCATAATGAATGAGTAAAGTGTATGATGTGTTATAGAATGATGCATGCTGTAGAAATACAAGGTGTAGAGAAGGAGAAGGAGTTTGGGGACAGCTGGGCAGGGTTGAGGGGAAGCATGTAAAATTCTATCACTCGTTTTCAAATGGAAATCTTGTAAACATGTACCTTGCATAAGCTAGGTTACCTCTAAGATTCTTTAAAATAGCAAGGTTAAATAAAATATCAAGGTTAAACGATATAATAAAAACATTTCAGAAATTTCTACCTCTTGTTCTGTGAAATTTTAAAAGTGATTAACTTAAGAAGTACCTAGTACTATTAGTTCGGTACTCAATAAATTTCCAGTGAACTGATCAATTAAGATCTTAGAGCATTCTACCAGTGAGTAGGAAATGTGTGATTTTGTTTTCAAGTGATTTAAAGTCTGTTGCTATAGTGATACCATACAAGATTTCAAACCAAAAGGTTATGTATGTGATGTGTTTTATGTTTTTAGGATAAACACCAAAAATATATTTATACATCAACATTCGTACGGAAACTATATTTATTACCATGTGTAAGGATGGATGAACATTTATGTGGCTGCCAAGGTACCCTTTGATCTGATTTTTGGAGTGCTGTACTGGTATACTGCTTTTCAATAGAGAGGCTACGATTATGCGGAATTCTAGACACAACAGAATTGTGCCCCAAGTTAAGACATTAAAAAAGATTGACCACATGGGAAATGGCCTAAAATAATATAATTAAACTGGTGAAAGTCAATTGCTTTGTCGTTGTAATAACTGATAATACGATCCACTGATGGACAACACAAATTAAATAGAAATGCCCGAAGGCCATTCTTGAGTAGGGAATTAGTGTCTCTGTACTGCATACATGTGGTGATTAATTTTATATTTAAACTGAAAGTAGAAAGAGACTTCTTGAAAGCAACTCAAAAACCTGATTTCTAGCATCCCTCGGAGCAGCTGATTTAACTAAGAGAAGGCAGCAGACACTGAGACTGTGATTTAGAGCGAGCCTAGGACAGAAAGACAGAGTTCTAGCATTCCACCGACACCACAAGAACCTACCGAACACATATTTAAAAAGTACTAACTTCCACAGGATTCAATTTCCTCAGCTTTTACTTTGAGTAAATATGTTAGTAAACACTAAAATACTCCATTGGACATCCAATGCAGATCAGATTTAATAGAGAACAAGTAGTGTCAGGCAGACACACAGAGCTACACTGGAACAGTTCACGGAGGTAAGGATCTCAGCTCCCTTCCCAATCCCCATGCAGGTGTTGCCATCTCGGACCCAGCTTCTTCCTCCATGTCCTTGTCTTCCAGAACACAGCCCTGCTTTCTTTCACGCTTTGAGCTGACAATGCTGAGTTGGGGGGTCTACTGCCTTTGGATGACTGCAAATATTTTTGTGCTTTCACTGTTTTTAAAAGTGATCAAACATTTCGGTGAGAGTCACAGGATATTTTGAAAAGTTTGTTTCTAAAAATAAGATGGACTGTTAAGTGGCTCACAGAAGCATTCACACATCTAATTAACAGACCAGGTAAAAGTGAGAATACATGAGAACAATTCTGAAAGCTCAAGGTTATGTGAAAAACCAATGATTACCTTGGTGGTTCACTCTGTAGAACAGTTAAACATGTGAGCAAACACTTAGCTGCTACATTCCAGGAGACACATATTTTTAATCTTCAAGTTTACATTTTAATGACTAATTATGATCTTACACATTATCATCATATCATCTCAGAATGAGAAAGTGCATTTGCATTTTTCTTGGTATCTAATTTATAGCATCTATAAATAGATATAGATATAGAGAATACAATACTCAGTTACTCTTGGAGATGTGTCTCAAAGTGTGCCCATTATAAACACTATGCTCTCCTTTATAGTTATTGTTTTCAATATATGGAATAATCTTAAATTTAGCAATGCACATATATTAACCTGAAACATACTTACATCTAGAGCTCAGTATCATGGAGACTTTGGGGCTTTTATCACTATACTTTGATAAAACAGGAACTATAAGGTAAGGTTTAAAAAAAGGATGAGGTTTTGGAAACTTCTTTGTAAGAACGTGTGTAAGAGATTCTAATAAATGTGTCACTATGATACCTTGACAGTTTATAAATGTGAGATAGTCCTATTAGTTCCTATTGTTTTCTGAACCACATGATAAAAGTAGAAGAGCACTATTCCAATAGAAGTTATTTCAGCAAGACTGAAGGTGACTGCCATGTATTCCTCCGAGCAATTCAACCCCTCTTTCTGAGGTCACCTCCATAGAGAAGGTAGGGATCATTGTCTAGTGTTTGCAAATATGTGACATCTATGATTCGGGCTGGCCCATGGTAAACTAATCTCATTCTATTATACAAAGACAGTTATAGTAAAATAAAAAAAATAGTGGAGAACCATTGCTTAAAGATGACTATATTAAGACTTAAGACAAGAATTCACTACATATATAGGTAAAAATGGTCACTCTTCACAAACTTTTGATAACTCAATTATCATCACTGTGTTTTAGCTTTTTGTTTTTATTTATTTATCTATTTTGGTTTAGAAATCAAAAGCAAGTACAGTTTCCTAAGAGTATTTTTTGTTGTTGTTTTGGCTAACCTCATCTCAATGAGCAGTAAATAGGAGATGTCTGAGTTATTTGAGTTTTCGTCAGTTATGGCTTTCAATCTTCTCTGAGACTCAATGGCATTTTAGGCACATTGCAAATCTTATCAGTTTGGTTATTGAAAGTCTGTCTAGTATAAAACTCCATTCTCAAATTAAATTAAATTGAACCCCCCCCCCCCCATCGCCCTCCCTTTCTGTACACAGACCTGTTGGGGATGGTTGGGTCTATTCAACAGACTCTAGTCAACCTCAAGGGAGGCTCTGGCGCCATTGTGCCCACCTGTAAGGACTCTTTTGCCACCAATTTTGGGACTTAGTTGCCAACTCCTGGACAACGAGACAAGTGCCACCGAATGTCCTGTTACGTATAAATGACATACATACAGTGTGGTGCCCCATAATGTTCAATTTAGGACATAGGTCTGTAACCCTTCATTTCCCTCTCCATCCTCATACATGTGCATTTTCCCTCCACCCCCAAAGGCAGCAAACGTATGACTGAAGGAAAACGGGATTACCATGACTGTTGCATCTGGACGTTTCCACCAGCCGGCCATTCTGGTCGTAGCATGCCATTGCTTGGTAACGGTGGCCCTGGCCACATTCCTTGATGTCTCCTTGCACCTTCATGCCCAGCAGCCCTTCCACTTTCCCCTCTGGCAAGATGCAGTCTGACCAGTTCCCCACGGGCTGCGCGCTGTACTTGTCGCAAGGACAGTACTGAGTCTCGATCAGGGGGTACACCTGAGAATTTTTACAGTTTTCCTTCTTTTTACTTTTCCCTGTGGAGAAATTTAAGTTGGAAAATACCATTATTAATTCCAAGCGTTCCCCAAGGTGTCTCCGTTCCCGCACTTCCTTTCTGCATTTCAGCCATATCCAACCGTCGCCTATAAATAAACGCTATTTTCTCACCCTCCGTGCTTTCTATCTAGGCTTAGTACCACGTGATTTCCATAGTGAACCTTGTTTTTTAAATAGCTCATTTCAAAATAGCCCCTTATATCAGTTACTAACTGTTGTGGTGAATTTTATACTCTTTAAGATGATTAAAATCCTCTCAAATGAGTGTGTGTTTTCACCGACTGGGAAGCTGGAGGTAACTGCATACATTTCTCCTTTTGAATGTGCAAACGTAGGACATGGAGAGACAGCCACTGCCCTGCATGTCACAGCCTTTTTGCTAATTCCAAATAGATGGCATTGTTATCTAGGGTTACAATTCAGAAAATGAGATTTTTGTATTTGTTTTTTGTTTTGTATTTACTTTTCTGATTATGATTTTACCCCTTACAGCATTTCTCAAGAGTAATCATTTTGACATACTTGGTGATTAATGTAGAAAATATAAATAATATTCAAAATGAAGATATTTAATATCAGGATAAAAATATTAGAAATGGTTCATATACAAATGTAAATAAATCCCATTTAAAAATAAATAACTCAAGTATAACAGTAATATGTACTTCAGAGTATATCATTATTTCAATTAGATCACATATGTTTATATTTATTATGTGTCATATATTATAGACTAATTATACTGCATATTACTAATTACACGTTTTACATATAGTTATCTGTAACTTCCATAAGCCAGCTTGATATAGTTTTCAACAGTTTTCATTATGACAAGTGGCTTATTTTATAACTTTTTAATTCTGAATAATCTACTGGCACTAATATTTTTAGGTTTCTTCTGCCAACTAACAGTATTTTGAAATGCACCAGGGTGTCCTTCAGTATAATGGCTCTGTTCTTGCTCATTATACCACTGCTTTTTGTCATTGTGACTGCATTTCAAAATGCAGTTTTCAGATGTAGAATTAGGTCGTAGTCCTCTTCTAGGCTATGAAGGTAACCCGAGGCTGACAGTGAGCATGGGTGAAGACAATGAAGTGGCAACTGTTCCCTTACTCCCCAAAAAAACCTTTTTCCAAGCACTTCGCAGTCTGTAGACAGTTCACCAAAAGTACATATTTAGAACAAAAAATGAACTTCCATGTATTATATAGATGACCGAGTTTGATTTTCAAGGCTCCTTTTTCTCTGTACTGAAATTACATAATATGTCCGTTACTGCCAAATTACATTAAAAACATATCCAAACCCATGGATCTGTTAGGTATAAGTACACCAACAATAAAGCATATCCGTGCATTTTCCAAATACATTGTTGGAACTCTCTTGGTCTGCTTCTTTTGTGTTTTTCTACCTTGGCAAGTATTGACTTTGGCATTCCAACCAATTATTCTTACCAACAATAGTGCGCTTTCTGGTCCTAACTGCACCGCAGTCTCCATTGCACGAAGAAAACTTGGACCAGCTGGTAAACTGACAGTCATCTTGGCAGGGGACCTGGCAGGCTTGGGTGAGGGCTGGCACGGGGCCCGCATACTGGAGGCATTCGGGGATGCCAGCCTGTCCTCCGTCTTGCTTTCGACAAGTAACAGCTAGAGGAAAAGCACAGAGCTGTTTATAGCAAACTGGCGTGTCTGCAATTACTCTACAAATTAGGAATTAACATTTTCTTAAGCAGTCAGAAGAATGCTCTCCTAATTTTTTGTTTGCAGTAGAAATCTAGGAGGAGTGTTTCTGATAATCACAGTAGTCATTAAATTGATGGTGTGGGTTTAAAAAAAAAAAAATCACAGATAACCCTCAGTAGTTTTTTGTGACCTAAAAAAGCACACATACTTGGCATTTAGCAGTTTTTATTAGATGCTATTAAGAACTTCAAGTCACATGTGAAGTATATTGAGAAATAAATTATTTAAAAGACAAATAAATAATACATCAGTTCTGATAATAGTTTATGTTGAACGGGCTATTCACAGGGGTGCTAGGAGACACCACATACCTCTAATAATTGTTTTTATATTATTGGTCACAGAAGGGGTTTAGTGGCAGCAAATTGGTTGGAAGGTTTGGGTGGGAAGGGGAGGCTTATGGAATTTGTTTTAAAGTTGCTTTTGCATATTTTTATTATTTTTTTACATTGGAAGCTTGTAGGACAGCTTTCTAGCGGTTAATGGAAAGAGGCAACATCAAAGTCCCCCATTCCCTCTGTCTACAAGTTCTTCACATGCACAGATTTCAACCAAAAATTCAAAAATAAAAAAATTGTAACAACCTGAATGTACCATGTAACAATTGCTATTTCCATAACTACATGTGGATTCTTAAAAAATGGTCAAATAATTTTAATCTGTACGTATTATTTCCCCAAGTTATTGTTGTACCGATTTCTATTAACCATGTTATAGTTTTATTACTTATTGAACATAGATGTCAAACTGCTTTAAGGTGAACAGGGCTTGATAAGAGCGAGTGATGTTTAAAATCTCTCTCTCGCTGCCCTTTTCCCTGCTGGTTTTAAGATAATTCATTCATTTATTGAGGAGGCAGATGAAACATTTATACCTTGGTCCTAAAGTTAAGTCTTTATTGAACTAGCTTAAGTGGCCTTAGGCTGATTTACACGGTCCTTCCAGGTTCAGGGCCAGGCTGAATGACTGCGGATCTCTGCCCTGCGCAAGTCTGTCCTCGTGAAACTAAGGTGAAGGGGCCTGGCAATTTGATCCCAAATTACAGTGAGGGCACAGAGGCCTCAGGGTAGACACTCTCTGGATCTGTGTGCTGAAACTCAACACCTAGTACTGCTGGGCTGTGTGTGGATAAGGGTGTAACAATTCTAGGAAGGGGAGGCTTTCTCTGCGTAGGTGAACACAATCTGTTGCAACTGCTACAGGAAAAGTTACATCATTGTGCAAATGTAGGTACATACTCGTCTATTTCTTAGCTATAGATATCTCTTCATTTAGTATTCACAACCCTGCAAGGGCCAATTTTATGAAAAGAACAGGGCTCCCTGAATTTTAAAGCTACAAAACCTGGTAGAGTGGACAGCCGTGACCTTTAGGAAGGTTATGTGACAGGAAAAGACAAGTGCTCCAAAGAGACTCTCACCGCATGGGAGAGGAACTGCCTGGTGATCTGGCCTATTGTACTAGCCTAAGGTAGTGGGTCTCAAATCAGGCTGCAGATGAAATCACCTGGAGAGCTTCTGGAACATGGCCACGCCTTTGCTGAACTCAAACATTCGAAATTAACTGATGGAGGACAGGGCCCTGGGCACCAGCATCTTTTTAAAGTTCCTGGATGATTCAAATGTGCAGCAGTAGATTGAGACCACTGCTCTAGTACATAATATATTCCCACTTGCCACAGAAACACCTGAGAGGCTATTAAAGTAGGAGAATTGTTGATTCATTTCCAAGCTTCTGAACAAGAATTCGGGGGGGGGGGGTGTCCAGGAATATGCATTCTCCCCCCAAGCTGCTCAGATGTCCTTAGGCACAATGAAGTTGAAGACCCACTGGGCTTGAGCACTAAAGGCACAAGAAGGGGTCTGGTTGAAACTTGGGGCTAAGACAAAAAGTCCTCTAGTGCCCAGTCAGCCTGGCACTGTGCCAAGCTTTGGGAAACAATGGCTGATCACGTGGGAATGAGCTAAGGAAGCCCTAAACGTGGAGCTCCAGGGGTCCTGCACAAGGAGTGGACCCACAACCATATAATTTGGAAGAATGTTATCTGTGGATTGGGGTAGAGGGAATTTCACGATGTGGTATGTTAGTGAGCTGATGTGATTTCTCAGTTGTTGCTATATCTGTGGAAGTAGGGTTGACTCCTTAAACATTGCAAACTTAGTAATGTTTGTGGGCGAAGTTGCCCCAAGGATGCTCAAGAGGAAGGATTGATAAAGAAGAAGCTATTAGACTTTTTACTAATCAGGATAAGCAGGAACCCCAAAAATAATAAATTTGGAAAATGAGAGATTTGATCATATTAGAACTCTGAGCTTTGAAGCAGGTCACACTGTGTATAACTAAAAGAAAATTATAAAACTAAATTTGGGTTCCTTGAAAGGAGACTACCTTCATTTACTCACCCAGTATGGCTTGCTGAAACAGGGACCTGAGTCTACACTTTTTGAGAAACTAAACGAAGTTGCCTTGAGTGCTCCATCAAGTTTCTCTCGCTAAGGTTCTTTCTCACACAGTGTATTTCAGAATTGCTCAAATTATCATTGCATTAAGTAACAAAAAAAAACAAAAACAAAATAAAACCACTACCAACACAATTCCAGAAACAAATTGGTTTTGTGCAGATCTATACTACTCACAAAAATCTGAAGTCCTTTTCCCTATATACCCACAGTATATAAAACCTTTAGTATTTTGACTAGTTGAAAAGAAAGACGTGTTAAATTCCCATATCTGTTCTCAGAACCCACTCAGCATTCCTCTCCCCTAATCAGAGACGTTAGTACACTTTGAATGAACTACTCATGCAATGCTATGCACGCAAGCAGCAACACCACCATTTGTACAATAGACTGAAGATGTATCACACATCTATTTTGATTTAGAGGAAATACAACAATTCAAACACAGGAATACAATCTGAAAAGAGCTTCCTGCTTTTGGGGGCAAGAAAAATATAAATGTTTGGAAAGGAAATCACCTGGTCTCTCAACACTCTAACTCTTAAAAATCATTTTTATGACACTGAATACGGGGTGGTTTTAACCGTAGAGAAGCTTCATCATACTAAGCATGGCTTCCCAGCACACTAAAATGCTGCACATACTCAGACAATTGTATCTGTATTTCCAGGTGGAGCATATAGACCTTGTGTAAAATGATTATGCAAGTTCTCCTTTGGGCTGAGGTCTGCTTAGAAAGATGGGCCAAAACCCATGTTGCCCTACAAATAATTCACCATAAAACCTTCGTGGTCAGCAAATATCAAAATAATAATTATAAAGTAAAATTTCATATTTAACTCTTTGCTGATTATATTCATTTATTTCATTGACAATTTTATTTTATGTATTGAGGCGCAGCAATTTTTCTTGAATTTTTTGGGGTGACATTGGTTTATAAAATTATATAGGTTTCAGGTGTACTATTCTATAACCACAGATGTATATACCATCTGTATATTATATTGTGTGTTTGCCACTCTTTCCACCGCCATTTATCCCCGTTACCCTTTTCTATTCCCTCCCCCACTCCCTTTTTAAGTGTCACGAACAGGCTGCTTCCAGGAGGCTGAAAAGCCAGGGAGACGGCCATGTGACTGACTTGTGAGTTACACACGAATCAAGCCAGGCAAGCTCAGTCTATCAACACTGAGGAAATGTTGGAAAAATAAATAGGAAAGCCAGTTTTTCAAACGACTAAATGCTCTGAAAAGGAGAGACGGAATTGTTACTTTCAAAGTGAATTTAGAAATATTCTAACCAAATGCAATGTGGAGAACTTCATGAACCCTGATTTAAACAAATCGATTATAAACAGACATTTTTGAGACAATGGTGGAAAAATTAAACATAGTCTGAATATTAGATGATATTAAAGAATTATTGTTAATTCTGTTTACGGCTATAATACTGTTATATTAAAAAATCATTATATATTTATGGGTGACATATATCTTATCTGGAAGTTGCTTTGACGTGCCTGGGCAGCCCAGCCGATGCGGCTCAGTGGACTGAGTGGCGTCCCATGGACTGAGAGGCCCCTGTTCGATTCCTCATCAGGGCACGTGCCCAGGTTGTGGGCTCAGTCCCCAGTAGGGGGCGGGCAGGAGGCAGCCAATGGATGTTTCTCCCTTATATTGATGGTTCTCTCTCTCTCCCTTCCTCTCTCTGTAAAAGAAAAAATTAATCATATATATATATATATACACAGTGCCCCAGCAAAATCTTTTTAAGAGTGTGAAGAGTGGCAGATGACCAAGAATGGCAACCTGTTAAAAACGGTTGTGGCTGAGGGAGTGATGGTTGCACTGCTACCCATTAAATTATTCCCTGTCCTTCCGTGTGCTATTGAAATGTCCCATACATTTAAATTAAAAACAATTAATAAGGAGAGTAAATAGAGTCGATTTCAGGATATTTTCATTAAGTTGAATTCTGCGCTCTGTTTTAAAGAGCAGAAAATAAAGGTTCTGGAATGAAAGGGAATAGATAACACTGGTTTGAGCAAACAGGACATGGTATCAGTGTTATGCATATGTGAGTATGCAAATGGCAGGCTACCAGTGCAGCTGTGGAGTAAATCTAATAGAATTCAGAATGTAGCTGCTCATCTTCATTTCCTTAGGAAGAAATGAAACTCCCTTATTATTCAGGACGCCACAAAAGGAGCAGTGCTATTGGTCTGTGGGATCACCCTTCAGCATGAAAAGAACATGTAGTCATTTCGTTTGAATAATCAGAGCGAAATAAATGACTAGATCGAAAATGTGCACACAGAAGTTCACTGCAGGAACCAGAGGAAGATCAATGCCCCAGTGCAGTGAAAGCTGTTGGGTCACACGTGACAAAGAGTTCAAGGAGCTCTGGGACCTGATTTATTCAACGGAGCTGCATTAACATGGTTTA